TTGTAGGACTTCCACTCAGCCAGCGTTCCTGTGGGTCTGGGTGATGTCCCTTCCGTCTTTTAGTTTCACTTTTGAAATGGTTGTTCGAGGCGGCAAACTCCGGCGTTAACCTATGCCGCCATCTTGGTTCCTCCCGGAAATCTCAAAATTTAGAATTTGCTTTTGTTTTTTGTCTTCCCAAGATCTGAAACCTCTTCCTTTGTGTGAATCTTAATGGGAGACAGGGTTCCACAATCCATAAGAAAAGCCAAAGATACCTAAAGTTTCCCTCCTACTCTCCTTGCAGCAAAGGCAAATGGCTTGGCCATTTGAATCCTCCCACCAGGACTCTGAGTCTTAAACAAGGAGTGTAAAGATACTAGAACAGAGTAGAATTCATCTGAGATGGCAGCCTACAGTGGTGATTGAGGTAGTTCCAGCTGTGGTATCCTTCCCTAGACCATTCCTATGTCGTGACTTCGGCTGTGATCCCTGGTTTTATTTTCTGAGTTTGATTAGCTGGCCTTCCCATCAATTCTGAGGATTTCAAATATTTATTTCCCCTTTAGTTGGCAGAGTTGGTTTCTGTTGCTTAACTATAAATCTTAGCATAACTTTAAGTTATGGGTTTAGAGAGATGGCAAAAACACAGGTCTTTCACTTTTTTTCTTTGTGAACTTCTTTATTGCTACTGTTGTGGTATTACTTCTGTCATTTAAAAATATGCTTTTAAAATCAATAACCCAAAGCACAGTTGGGCAAAAAGAAGTACTAAGAAATAAAATTTGAAAATTAGGATGGAACCAGATTGCACAAATCCTTCAGTATCATTTTGAAGATTCTGAATTTAGCTCAATAAATGTGGGAAATTTATAAAACAGAATAATGAGCCCAGCTGGCATGGCTCAGTGGTTGAGCATTGACCTACGAACCAGGAGGTCACGGTTCAATTCCTCGTCAGGGTACATGCCTAGGTTGCGGGCTTGATCCCCAATAGTGGATGTGCAGGAGGCAGCCACAATGATTCTCTTTCATCATTGATGTTTCTGTCCCTCTCTCTGATATCAATATAAATAAATAAATAAATAAATAAATAAAACAATGATATGATCAAATCAATTGTTTTTTATTGTTATATAGAAGGTGAAACAGAACTCAGAGAAATTAGTGACCAGGAGAACAATTAGGAGGAGGCTATTGCCATGGTCCAGACAAAATATTGAGAACATTTCTCAATTTGGAGACAGAGTGAGGTTGTCAATCACAGGTTGGGTGTTTTGGAGGCAGATGCTGAGATAGAGTTTGAGGTGCAAGATATTAACTAGGGGGAGGAAGCTGGATTGAACAGAGGGAAAAGTTAAACTGCAATATAGATCAGACATAGACCCAGTCAACTTGACAAGGAGCTCTGGAGTGATGGCTCATCAGAATTGTCCTGCAGTAGGCCAGAATGGCTGCACCTTTCCATCCCTGCGCTGCTCAGTCAACAAATGAGGATGGCCCTGGTGTAGGACTGTTCTCTGTAGGCGAGGCATACCCTGAAGGAACTGAAGCAGCAAGAAGCTATCTGCTGGCTATACTCCCTGTAACTGAACAGCAAGTTCCTTGAAGGTAGAACTGGGTGGCACACGTCCATGCCTACCACAAAGAAAGAGATGAATTATAATACCTGGAACAAGAGCAATGGAGTGGAAAGGAGGGAATGGATTCTACAGATATTGTATTTTGTAGGTGGGGGATGAAGAGGGAGTCAATGTAAGTTAACTCTGAGTTTTTACATTGATATGATTTGATGGTAATTCCGTTTAATTGATAGTAAACCACAGGAGAAAAAGAACACGTTTGGAGAGAAAGATATGTTTATTTTGAATATGCTGACTCTAAAATGTCTACAGAATATTACGGTAGAGATGATTTTCAAGAATGAATGCATATGGGGATGGTCTGGAGATCAACAACAAGTGCTATACAGGGTGGGGCAAAATTAGGTTTACAGTTGTTCATATGAAAAATAATACAATAATTAATAAATAATAATACAAGAATAAACTCTGCTCTACATACTCATAACTGTAAACTTACTTTTGCCCCACCCTGTATTTGAGTATACATATATCATATATATTCTTATTTAATATGCATAATGCCTCTATGAAGTAGGTATCTTTATTATACCCTTTTTGTATATTTTATCATACCTTTTGTTTATGGAGAAATTGAGACTTTAAGAAGTTAAAATGCCTGGTGAAAGAAGTAAAACTCAAGTCTGTCTGATGATGAAACACATGCTCTCAGAAACAAGATTATACTGCTTCCCCATAGAAATCACCACAGATAGATGGCATTGGAAGCCATGCAAGTTAGTAGGTTGCCCAGAAAGATACAGTTTAAAGGGAAACAAAAGGAGCCCCAAAATGGAATTCTAAGGGAGCTAAAATTTCCAAGATAAATGGAGTAAGATGGTATAGGCAAAGGGATTGAACAGTTTTTAAAAATTCAAAGTATGGTATTTCAGAAGTTGGGGTAAAAATAGCTCTAGTCCACAAAGTGAAATGTGCAGATATCATGGAGGATGCAGTTTCCACAATTAGAGGTCATTGATGAGTTTGGAGCAGTTTATTGAGATGTCAGACTGCAATGGTTGAAGAGTGCATCTATAATAATAAACGTGTAATATGCAAATCGACCAAACGGCCGAACAGTGGAATGACCGTCCGGACGACTGTCTGGACTACCTTCCGGACAAAGCCAGGGCTGCGAGGGCTGAGGCAGCCGGGGCTGCAAAGGCCTACTCTTGCATGAACTTCATGTATTGGGCCTCTAGTAGGAGATAAGGACATAGAAGCAAAGGGTATAGGGTAGTTTTCTAGAAAATTTTCAAAGTAGAGGAAATAATAATGCCTTGTACATAAATAAGGAATTTATTACTCTTATTGACTGATTATTTAATAACTCCTTGTTCCCATATTACTTGGTTTTACACTCCTACCATTTCTCTAGTTATTACTTTCTACCTCCTTCATAGCATTGTCTCTTCCTATGGCTGACACATCTGCAGGCATTGAATGTTATTTATTTTGGTTTTGTGATGACTTGTTTTACTTGGTTATGTGATTCTGTCTGTCTTTGGAGGATGGACCCCACGATCACTACCACAACTCCATCATCTGTTTTTCACAAAGATAGACAAGCATTCACTTCTCAAACCAATGCAACGAAGCATGCAAGTTCTTAGTTTTCTAGTCAACCAAGTACTCCGTCTACCTAGCCTTCTCTCCTTCCCTCACCCCAACTCTTGGTGGGCAGATCTGGAAGAAGAAAGCCGGTACTCCAAACATGGGATATCATGTCCCAAATGGGGAATATGTTTGCTTTTTCAGTGAGCTGAGGTTTTTCTTTGTCAGCCCCCATCAGTCCAGCCCTTCTCCAGAGGGGACTGGAGAGTAATTAACACAGCCGTCCACCTGTGCACAGGAAGATGCCTCCAGCCACGCCACCGATGATGAAAGTGCCCAGCAGGATGCCCAGGACCAGCGAAGTGTAGGAGCGGCTTGTTTGGCTCCCTGGAGAACATGCAGAAAGTTAGCCTTAAGAACATACCCCGAAGGAATCTATAGTTTGAATCAAACCCCAAGGGATTTCTGCCCCAAAGGTAGGGGACTAGTTCACCAAGTGACTTAAGCTGTGTGTACTCTGTCCCAAACTCCCAGCCCTGGGAGTCGTGTGGCTCAAGGTCTCCATCCTTCAGGTCCATCCATTTGCCTGGAACCTACCCAACATACAGGCCCATGGCCAATCCCACCATACCTTTCAGGGTTTTCGTGGTGAGGTGTTCTTTCACATACTGCACACAGGTGTTCTGCAGGAAATCCTGCAGATCATACCGAGTACGATTGTAGGCGTTGAGCTGACGCAGGGTGTAGGTGACCACTGAAGAGCTGACCTGGGACCCTGCCACCCATGAGGCAGCCTCTGGCTGGAAACTCACAAAAGAGCTCCCATTCACAGCCACTTCAAAGAAGGTATGGGCCCTAGAGCCCTCAGAAGGCAGCTCACAGCCCAGGAAGCAGCGAATGGTCAGAGGAACTGTGGAGGGGGATTCAGGGTCAAGGGGATGTGTGGAGAGGGTGCCAGGTGTAGGGATGTTCACCTGGGGGAAGTGAACTTTAGGGTTTCAGGGTGGGTCTACCTCAAGATCATGCCAGCAGGAGGAAGGCCTGACAGAAGGCTCGGACTCCTCTCCAGCCTCAAACTCTTACCCAGCAATCAGTAAATGCCCGTGCCAGGGCACCACTGGGCTCCTGAGAGCCTCCCGCCCCCACAGGACCACGCCCATGTGTGCAGGTCCATCCACAAGACCCCTCTGGGAAACCACAGGTCCCCACCCCAGGCCACGCTCCCCAAGCGTGACCCACTCACAGGTCACGCCCCGCTCCAGGTGTACTAGCCGCACTATGTTTTGGAAGTTGCTCAGGTAGAGCCGCACGTTTCCCTCTGTGTGCGCCCAGCTCTGGGGCTCCTGCAAGGGGTGCAGCTGAAGAATCGTGATGTTGGAGTCCTGGCCTTCCAGCAAGTGCGTCAGCTGCCCCCCCAGCGACGCGTTGCCTTGGTACAACACTTGATCAGGGTCTGGGAAGTAGGAGATCTGGAGCATGTGGAGGTTCTGAGTACCTGGGGGGGGAAGGCAGTGTGTTGGTCCCTGGCTGGCCTGAGAGAGGCTGGCGTGGAATGGGTCGGCGAGGAGCCGGAGTTAATAACCCCGTCTCCAGAAGCCGGCCGCCCACCTTCTTGGCCCTTCATAAACTACAAAGTGTCCTCCCTCCCTTCCTCCCATTTAATGCTCACAGTAACCCTGCCAGGAGGTGAGGACAGGGATTATTATCTTCATTTTACAAATGAGGAAACTGAGGCCAGAAGAGGAGAAGCCACTTGCCTGAGGGTAAGCCAGACAGTCAGTGGAAGACCCACTCTGATCTCCCTTCTCTCTCTCACCTCCACCCCGTTTCCAGCTGGTCAACAATTCCTGACCTACAATAAAAATCCCGGTTCTGTCCCCTCTGCCACTGCCCTACTTCAGGCCTCATTGGTTCTCACCGGGACTCGGATAGTAACTTCTTTCCTCATGCCCCTGCCCCTCATTTTTCAGTTTCATCCCTTTTAATCTGCTCCCTACCTGACCCGGAAAAAAGATTATGTCCTTCTGCTTAAAATGCTCCAGTGAAGCCCAGCCCGGTTTGGCTCAGTGGATAGAGCGTCATCCCGCGGACTGAGGGTCCTAGGTTCGATTCCTGTCAGGGGCATGTACCTCGTTGCAGGCTCAATACCCAGTCCTGGTCAGGAAGCATGCAGGAGGCACCCAATCGCTGTGTCTCTCTCACATTGATGTTTCTCTCTCTCTGCCTCTCCCCCTCCCTTCCACTCTCTCTAAAAAAAGCAATGGAAAAAACATCCTCAGGTGAGGATTAACAAAAAAATTAAAAAATGTAAAGTCCTCCAGTGACACACTCAACAATAATAATAGTTATTGGGCTTATTATGACCTGGGCACTGTACACACATTATTATGTTATTTGTGCCTTCCTTCCTTTAACTTAATACAGGAGCTACTATTATTAACCCCAGTCCATACGGGAAACAGGCTAAAATGGTATAACAGAGCCAAGATTTGAATGCAAGCAGTCTGCGTCTAGCATTCTTAGTCAGCCAGCTATACTGACTCCTTATAGGATATCTGTCCACAGAATCAAGTCCAAAGTCTTTAGCATGGATTTTCAGGGGACCAGGCCCCTGCTGCCTTTTTCAGTCTCTGCCCAGTGCTTGGCTGTATCAAACTCCTCATGCTGCCTTTTGACTGACATGTAAATAGCATGTCCGGGTTGCTCTGCTTCCTGGCAAACTTCTATTCATGCTTCAAGACCCAACTTGGTTGTTCTCTCCTTGGAGGAGTTTTCCTGATGCCTCTTCTCTTTATCCTTCCAGACAGTGGACCCGTTTCAATGACCCGAGATTCCACATAACTGTCTGTAAACACACAGGCTACCATGGGCTCCTCTAGGCTACAGGTTCATATGGTATCTCTACCTCCGACACCTAGTAAGGGCCTGGCACAGATTTGGTGCCTAGAAAATGTCTGAGGAGGGAATGAGTCTGGGGTTGCAAATCTGTGCTGTGACCAGGTTTGCATTTGAGAAATGCTCTGTGACTGCAGGTGTGAATAAGTACATCTATGTGGATAACCTTAGACAGGTTCTTAACTGCTGTGTGCCCTCGTCTTCTCCTCTGTGAAATGGAGATAATATTACATCCCTTGTAGAGAGTTTGTGGGGGTTAAATGAGGCAACACATGCTTTAACCATAGTGAACACTCGTTGAATTCTGGTTATTATTCACTCCCTCTCAGAAGGGGAGACTAAAGCTATAGAGATTGTGGGAGACAGAAGAGTCCTTGTGCAATTGCAATGAAGGGCAATCACCCCACTTCTGTGCTTCCCCCACTTCAGGCAGCTGATCTCCTGAGTTCTCCCGCTGACAACAGTTTCTTTTTCCCCAGCTTCACCTCACCAACTGTCCCCAGTTTTCCTCCACTTTCTCTATTCTCCTTTTCTGCCTCACATACCTCAGCCCCAATCTTTCCCCAAGTATTCCCTCAGTTCTCCACGTCCTCCAATTCTTTTCATTTCTCAATTCATCTCTGGGTGTCTTCCCATCTTCCCTAGATTCACCCCCATCCACCATCACCCTCAGCTCTCCTTCTCCAGACTTTACCCCATCCCCTCTCCCTGAGGCTAATTCCCTCAACGCTTCTACCAGTCCCTTTCCCATCTTTCTGGTGTTGTCCACCCTCACCACCAGCCTCCTCCGTCTTCCCCTCTCTCACCTGGCTTTGGAACACACACCAGTCCCCGGAGCCCTGCCTGCCCTATAGAAAGACCCAGCAGACCACAATACAGACACGGTGAATAAGCTCTCCTCTGGTCTAGCCCACATACCCCAAGAGCCATCCTGAGGCAGGAAATGTGACCTCCCTCCCCCTCCCCCTCAGCCCCCACTCACCATCGGAAGTTTCCGGGATACAAAGGGCCCTGCCGGGCAGAATCAGTAGAAGCAGCAGTGGCAGCAATGTTCTCAACATCCTGGGACCTTGATCCCACCTGTACTCCTGGCTTTGGCAGGCTGGGGGCTCCCACTGACTGCAGCCCAGGGGAGGGAGGACCGCCTGGGAGGGGAGAAAGCTGAACGGAGGAGCTGGAAGGTGACCAGGGAATGGGAGGAAGAAGAGGACGCCAGGCCTTTAAAGTGTTATTCCAACCCCGGCTTATTTCCTACTAGGGGGCCGGCCTCCTCTTGCCCGCCCCCGGCCCCGCCCTACATCGAATTCTCCTGCCCAGACCTGCCTTTTCCCTTTTCCCTAAACCGCTTCTGAGGAACAGGGAGAGGCGGAAAAGGGGGAGCAGGGGCTTCCAGAAGTCCTGCCCTCGCTGAGTCAGGGGGTGGGGCATCTGTTTTCAATCAACTTAGAGCAGACTCTAGGAACCAGCAGGTGACTATTGAGGAGACGGAGGTCCAGAGAGGTTCAGGGACTTGCCCAAAGTTTCTGCCTCATGGTGGTCACAGATCAGGAATTAGAATTGTTTTCCTGCATGCTGGCTACATTTTTATAAGAATTTGAAGAGAATAGTAATTACACAATCAGGGATCTTGCACTCAGAAATAGTCACGAGATGAGTATAGAGCAGCTCATTTATTTGTAATAGGAGATAATTATGACCAAAATAATTCTCAATAGAGGATTGGTTATTTAAAGCAATAGTTTTAAACTGAAGTCACAATCTTATTAGTATAATATGCTAATTAGACCAGACATCCTTCTGGACGTCCTTCCAGACCAAGCCAGGGCTTCGAGGGAAGCCTGGGTCCTGGGTGCCAGAAGGAAGCTGGTGCTGGCAGCCAGGGGGAAGGAAGGCCTATTATTGCACAAATTTCGTGCATCAGGCCTATAGTATTATAATTAATATCAGCTAATGGATGACTGAATGAGATAGTTATGATGTGCATAAATCTCCAAGAGTAAGTTGCAGGATGTTATGTTCAGTTTGGAACTATTTATATGTCAACTACACACAGAGCAACTAAACAACCTATTTCTTTATGGGAGTAAGTGAATCTGGAAGGACGTACTGTAAATATAGCAGTGGTTTACCTCCAGGGAGGGGCCTAAGACTAAGAATGTGTGTGTGTGTGTGTGTGTGTGTGTATGTTAGGGGTGGCAATCTTGTGAAAGGCTTTACATTCTAATTTGTGAAGGGTTTTATCATTCTATTATTGGAAAATTTTGCATCTAGAATGTGATCATATGTCTCTTGTTGAATTAAAAATAGAAGTTTTTTTTTTAAAATATATTTTATTGATATTTTACAGGGAGGAAGGGAGAGGGATAGAGAGTTAGAAACATCGATGAGAGAGAAACATCGATCAGCTGCCTCCTGCACACCTCCTACTAGAGATGTGCCCACAACCAAGGTACATGCCATTGACCGGAATCGAACCTGGGACCTCTCAGTCCGCAGGCCAACGCTCTATCCACTGACGCTCTTTTCACTGAGCCAAACCGGTTAGGGCTAAAAATAGAAGTTTTAAGTGATAAATTATTGCAGAAGAGAGTAGCAGATCATTATGAGCTGATGTACTGAAATGAGCCATTGATAAGTAAATAAAGGAAGTGTGGCAAATACATATAGTATAATTCCATCTATTTTTAGTTTAAAATTTTTCACAGATGTGTATATGTCTGGAAGGATTCTGTCAATAGAAATTATCTTTGGGGAATGGGATTAGAGAGAAAGGGCTATACACTGTTTCTTAGAGGGAGAGTTGATGTCATAGTGGAATCGGGGCAAACCCTGGACACATACCAGTTTCCTAGTCTCTAAATTGATTATATGCAAGAATGTCCATGCTCACCTCCTAGTTGTTGCAGACTAGCTTAGAAGTAACATCACAGTCTTTTTCCAGCTTACCAAAATAGTCTACTCAGAAGAACTGGGGCCTTATTTTCCTGGTCTCAAGAAAAGTGGAAGAACTTAAATCAATGCCAATTATAGTCTTGCCTTTTATAAAAAAACTAGTGGCCCGGTACACAAAATTTGTGCACATTAAAAGGGAATTAATTAGAGGTAATATTTTAATAATGCTATTTGCCCTTTCTCTATAATAGAAGTGTCAGAGATGATAGAAAATTAGTAAAATGTGTATGAAAATCTTCTTCCTGTCAGTGTCTGGGGCACGCCATGGGACCCAGAGTCAAGTCCCCACCCACCCACGTGCACCTCAAAATCACGTGAGACCCAGACCTGGCCGGCCCCACCCCCATTGGGCGAGATCCAGACCCAGCCAGCCCCACCCTCATCAAGCCCCACTAGGGTAGGAGTGCAGTTTCAGGTCCCCTGGTCCAGCGCCAGGCAGGGGGAACAGGCTCAGGGCCCCTGTCAAGCCCTGCTGGGTGGGGGGTGCAGCCTCAGGTCCCCCAGCGAACCCTCAAGTCCCCTGGCCTGGTGCCAGGGTGGGGGGCGTGGCCTGAGGTCCCCCTTCAAGCCCCGCTGGGTGGGGACACGGCCTCAGGTCCCTGCTGATCGCTTGTTACAGGAACCCTGCCTCCACTGTGGGTGCAGCCATCTTGTGATGGTGTGATGGAGTGAGGGTCAATTTGCATATCACCTCTTTATTATATAGGATATTATGAAATATATTATATGTGAAGAATTATTTCATGCTTGAAGAATTTTATTACAAACATACATGTCCCCACCACCCAGCATAAGAAATGAAATATTATCATTGAAACCTCCTGTGTACTCCTCCTCAATTGCACATCTCTCCCCTCTATCATCAAAGTAACCACTAATCATAAATTGCTATTTTTCATCCCCTTACATTTCTATATACTTATACTACACATATATCTCTCTAAGCAATATATATTATTTTGCATATTTTGAATTTTCTATAAATGGTATTGAAGTGCACAAATTCCTATGTAACTTGCTTCACCTAACATATTAATAAAATTCAGCCTTGTCATTATGTGTAGCTCCATTAATCTCCACTGCTTTATAGTATGCCTTTTTATAAGTATGTCACAATTCATTCATTCTCCTACTGTTAATCAATTTTTTCATGTTTTTTTGCTATTACAAACAAGCATGTCAAACTCAAAGGCTAACATGGGCCAAACAAACAAGACTTAAGTTTATGTGGGCTGTAATAAAACAAAAGCTTCAATTTTCATAGAAACGTAGGTTTATTTTGATAGAGACATGCTGAATACAAAGGGCTGAAATAAATGAGTACTCATTAACAAATAATAGAACATTTTGCCCTGGCTGGTTTGGCTCAGTGGAGAGAGCATCAGCCTGTGGACTGAAGGGTCCGGGTTCGATTCCGGTCAGGGGCACATGCCTGGTTTGCGGGCTTGATCCCCAGTGGGGGATGTGCAGGAGGCAGCCAGTCAGTGATTCTCTCTCATCGTTGATGTTTCTGTCTCTCTCTCCCTCTCCCTTCCTCTCTGAAATCAACAAAGATATCTCTGTATATAAAATCTATCTATCTATCTATCTATCTATCTATATAAAAGACTAATATGCAAAGTGTCCCTGCAGGAGTTCAACTGGGAGACTGGGAGTTCTATCGCTCACTATGATGTGTGCTGACCACCAGGTGGTGGTGCGGAATGAAGGAAGGCCCTGGCCTGCAGCAGGCAGCGAAGGAAGGGAGGCCCTGGCTGGCAGTCAGAAGGAAGGCCCCAGCCAGCAGCCAGAAGGCCCCAATTGGCCCTGATCGCTGGCCAGGCCTAGGGACCCTACCTGTGCACGAATTTCATGCACCAGGCCTCAAATATATATGTGTGTGAAATCGAGACCCCAATCTGAACATGTGCTCTTGACTGGCATCAAACCCAGGACCCTCCATTCCGCAGGCTGTCGCTCTATCTACTGAGCCAAACCAGCTAGGGCTTAATATTTTTTCTTGAACATTAACTTACCAGACACTGAATAACTGCACAAATTAATAAGCATAATGCAGGTGTGGTTTTTTTTGTTCTCTGAAAGTGAAATATTCCCTGTTGTGCACACCAAACAAGTCAGTCAAAGACTAATGATGTGGCCATTGGCTGCTAAAATATTTGCTGCTAGTCTTAGTGGAGAGAAATGGTGCACAGTAAGGCATGTGAGAGAAATGAATGCAACACAATTATAGCAATCAGTCATTAGCGAACGTTGTAGTTTGTTACTAATAATTATGTATAACAAGATATTGTAAAAATTAAGTTGCAAAATTTTTATTAAAACCTTTCTTACATACCATTATATAGGCTGGGCCACAAAAATATTGGTTGTGGGCTGCATGCAGCCCACAGGCCACGAGTTTAAGATGCTTGTTGTACATGTTTTCTTGTGTATTTGTGGGAGAATCTTTGTAGGTACAAACTTGGAAGTGGAATAGCTGAGTCATGGGGTATCTGCATCTTCAAATTTACTAGATATTGCCAAACTATTTTACAAAATGTTTCGGCCAATTTATATCCCCAGTAGCGCACATGCATGGCCTTGCTCCAAACCCTTGCCAACTCTTGGTATTGTCAGATGGCTGGGTGCAAAATGGCACTTCATTTTGGTTTTGCTGATTCCTAGTTTGTGCATCTTTTTGCTTTGCCTTTTTTCTTCCTTGAGTGCTTGAAAGGTGCTTTGGGACAGAGGGTGAAAAAGTATATGATTGAACCAATTTGAAATTCAGTGTTGTGAGTCTTTGATATATGCAGGTAGGGCCTGGTTAACTGGGGTTAAATAGGGGCCACACCACCATCCACAGGGCTAGTTACAGAGAAGTCTTTTCCATCAGCTAAGATCTGTTATGGTCAGAGGTGGCAACAGCAACCTCTTGCCCATTTTAATTTCTTAATACAAGTTATTGTTATTCCATGTCCTAAGGGGGAGATGATCTCTGAAGGGACCACCCTTCTGAGTTGTTATCCCAGGCACCCTCTCATACTCCAGTGCCCTGAAAGTCAAACAGCAGAGACAACAATTATTATTATAGTTAACATTTATCATGTGCTGTGACAGTGTTAAGCTCTTTCCATAAATAATCTCACTTTTCCATATGCCAGCCCTGTGAGATGGGTTTCATTAACATCCTTTTTAAAAATATATATATATTTTATTTATTTTTTACAGAGAGGATGGGAGAGGGATAGAGAGTTAGGAAGATCAATGAGAGAGAAACATCGATCAGCTGCCTCCTGCACACTCCCCACTGGGGATGTGCCCGCAACCAAGGTACATGCCCTTGACTGGAATCGAACATGGGACCCTTGAGTCCGCAGGCCAACGCTCTATCCG